CCCCATGGATGAGGAGCTCTGTGCATGCACGAAACACATCTAGCTACACGGCCCTTCAAGCCCTCAAAAGCTTCCACCAAAGCACCAGTGCGCTCGCCCTCAAGAACACCAGCGCTCTGGGGATACACTACTTCAGGCTCAACCACTTGGTCAGCCATGGTCAAAGCAGGAACCCGGTCTGCGTATCCCCAAGAGCATCCGGGTCCTAGGCGCGAGATGCACCTGCTCTGCGTGGCAGCAGGGCTGCCTGTACTAGAAAACATTGCTGTACAAGTCGCCTCAGATGTGTGCAATCTGGGGTCGATGTCCCAAGTGAGCTCGGCATCGATGTCCTCGAAAACCAGCTCGTGCGCCGCCTGCATCCCAAGCAGCTGCGCTCTCCAACAACTGACATAGTCGTCCTCAAAACTGACAGAATGCATCCAGTATACATTCTCTTCGGAGTATGCCTCCGGAAAATGCCCGCACAGTCCCCGAAGGCTCAGGTGCGAGCTTTGCCAGGGGGCGCTGGGTCCTCGCCCTTCGCCTCCTCCTTTTCTTTGGCGCCTCGTCGCGGTGTACGCGATCCTTCTCGTGGCGCAGTTCCAGTCTCGGCCTTGTGGTTGGTAAGCGCAGTCAGGAGTGCCTGCGCTTGCGCATCGGCCTGTTCCCGCTGCTCGCTCAACTGCTTCTGCCGAGCTTGAACTTTTGCCTCTTCCTCGATCGCCTCGGTAAGCATCATGTCCTCGTTGTCGAGCGCCGCATCTATGTCCTCGACGTCGACAACCTCCTTGCCCTCCTTGGGGTCCACTTGGGCGGATTTTCGCCCAAGCTCCATTGTAGCCTCTTCCAGCTGCACCCGCCATGCCTCCTCTGTACCATCGAAGGACGCCAGAGCGGTGGTACGATCCTTGATCTGTTGCTCCAGCAGCTGTGACAGGTGGGCTATGTAAGCCTGCCATGCCGTTTCGAAAGCGGCACGTTCCTGCCTCACTTTCACCAGTGCTCGTCTTGCCTCCTGTTGTTTGGAGACCAGCCTGTGCATCGACTTGCTCGTAGCTCGAAAGGCATCGTCCTGGTATTGGCATAGCAGCTGCGAGATTTCGGCAGGTGTATTCTCCTGCCCAGCCACGTGCGCCACCAGAGCGCGCAAAAGCTGCTGGTCGGCGCTCGGTGGCGTAGTCGTCGCCGGGGTAGAGGTCGAAGGCATGCTCGGCACGCCCGGCGTCGGCGGCTCGGGCAGGCTGGAGATCTGTGGTGCTGTTGGCCCATCCTTCGCTCCAGTGTCCGCCCGCTTGCCAGGCGTCTTGCCTCTGCCCTTGCCAGATTCCTGCCCTGAACCCCGAGCTCTGCCAGTCCTGGTGCGCGGCGAAGCTTGTCGCCTGCGCGGTGAGTGCGGCCGCCAGTCCTGACTTTGCCAAGATTGATCTCCATGGCCTTCTCCACGCCATGGTGCCCACATGCGCTGCTGGGCGTAAGCTCCCCGAGCCGCCCCACACTGTGGGCAAAACTGCGCCGAGGCCTTGGCCCACTGTTGACACTGTCCGCAAGACCAGCTCATTGCCACAAGGTGCCGCGTAGAGGCCGGGAGGGTAGATCTGGAGTGGTGCGTCGCCAGAACTCGTCTGGCTCTCTGGAGCCGGCCCAAACTGGGACTCTCGACTCCTGAAACCGTATTGCGCAGGAGGGTTCTGGCCCTGGTCCGCGCACGTCGCTGCCTTCTGTGGAAGGCTGGTTCTCTGGTCACCGTCGTCTTGACCGAGCCCACCAATACAGAAAACAGTATACAAGGTCAGCAGGATCAGCATAGGAATCCCACCACAAAACTGTAAATCCAGCCACACAAGGTGTGGGGATAGAGCGCCCAGGTCCTCGCAAGCGTACAGACCAGGCGGAGGTTCGTATCCAGCCACCGCAGTGGGGATAAAAGACACCAAGCTCCCTCGTCAACAACGTACAGGAGCCCAGGTTGCCGCGGGTCGAAGCGGAGTCGACCGCGCAAAGGGTCAGTGGCCAGCGGTGGATCTCAAAGAGAAAACTACACCACTTAAGCCACAACGCCTAGAGTTCAGGGTTTAGGGTTTAGGGTTTAGGGCTTAGGGTTTAGGAAGGGTGCAATCTGAAGTTGAGATCCAAATCTTGGGCTTCGAGCATTCAAGGTAGTCCAGAAGCCTATAGCAACCCCAAACCTTAACGCCTAAACCCTAAACCCTCAACCCTAAACCCTAAACCCTAAACCCTAAACCCTAAACCTTAGCCTAAACTCTACAGTAATCCTCGGACCCCGGGATGGCGGCTGAAGTTCTGATGGCTCTGGACCCGGGAGTTTGGGCTTTAGGGTTTATAGGGTCTAGGGCTTAGGGTTTATAGCCCAACAAACCTGTAAATGAGCTCAAACAGCATTTACGGAGCTCGAACAAGCATTAATTGTAAAGGAGCTCACAAAAAATAGCATGAAAGGAACTCGAAAAAGCCTGTAAAGGAGCTCAAAAAACTTTTAAAGGAGCTCAAAGACAACGTTTACAGGACGGAGCTCAGAAAAACCTGTAAAGGAGCTCGACAAAACCCTGCAAAGGAGCTCAAACTTAAGCCTTTCAAGGGGCCCTAAGCCCTAAACCCTACACCCTAAACCTTCAACCTTATCTATAAACCCTAAACCCTAAACCCTAAACTAAACCCTAAGCCTTTAAAGGGGCCCTTGAGCCCGAAAAAAGCAAAGGTCGTGGAGGAGCTCCGTGAGGTTCGCAGCGCCGAGTTTCCCAAAGTCCTCCGCCAGGTCCAGGAGGCGCCTCCCGGGTTTAGGGTTTTAGGGTTTTGGGTTTCAGGGTTTAGGGGTTTAGGGTTTAAGTGTAGGGTTTAAGTGTAGGGTTTAGGGTTTTGGGTTTCAGGGTTTAGGGGTTTAGGGTTTACGTGTAGGGTTTAAGTGTAGGTTTCAGGGTTTAGGGGTTTAGGGTTTAAGTGTAGGGTTTAGGGTCTAGGGTTTAGGGTTTAGGAGTGTGGGCTCCCTTTAAAAGGGATTCTACGGTTGATGCTGATGATGATGATGCTGATGATGATATACATATATAATAACAATAATCAGATCAAAAAAATTAGAATAATAATAAATTATAGTAGATATATATATATATATATGTATATGTATTATATATATATATATAATTCATATACATATATATATATATACATATCCTGCATTACACTTTAATAATCAGTATGCCATAGTTCCTGAAGTTTAGGGTGATTGAGGTAATGCCGGGTTTATGTCATCAACAGAAGGGATCCGGGTTCTAGGGCTTTAGGGGTTTCGGTTTAGGGCTTTTAGGGTTTAGGGTTTAGGCCCTAAGCACTAAACCCTAAACCCTAAACCCTAAACCCTAAACCCTAAACCCTAAACCCTAAACCCTAAACCCAGCCCTAAACCCTAAACCGTTTCGGTTTCAGGTTTTTAGGTTGTAGCTTCTAGGAATCTCTCTGGGTTCCCTGGGTTAAACACGGGAGGGGGGGGGACTTGCATACTTCGAAGATTCGAAGAGGGCTGAAGAGGGTTTTGGGGGTATGTTATAGGGCTTCAGAGGCTTTGGCTTTAGGTTTGTTTTTGCTTTGGAGTCCAGCCCTAAACCCTAAGACTACAACCCTAAAAACCCCTAAACCCCTAAACCCCCTGAAAGGGCCTGTTGGAGGTTTTTTAGGGAGGGATTTAGGATCGTTTCAGGTTCTCAGCCTTTTCGGGGCTGAAGGTTTGAGGATTCGGTTTAAACCCTAAACTCTATAGACCCTAAACCCTAAACCCTAAACTCTAAACCCTGAGCCCTAAACCCTAAACTCTAAACCCTAAACTCTAAACCCTAAACCCTAAACTCGCAACCCTAAACCCTGAACCCTAAACCCTAAACTCTAGACCCTAAACCCTAAACCCAAAGCTCTAAACCCTAAGCCCTGAATCCGAAGCCTTAAACCCTAAACCGTAAACCTTAAACCCTGAACTCTAAGCCCTAAACCCCAGGCCCCAGGGCACCGAAACTTCCCGATCCGAAACCCACACCGAGGGTTGACGGCTTCTTCTGCTAGGGTTTAGGGTTTAGGGTCTAGGGTTCAGGGTTTAGGGTTCAGGGTTTAGGGTTTAGGGTTCGGGGTTTAGGGTTTAGGGTTCAGGGTTTAGGGTTTAGGGTTTAGCGTTTCCTGGAATGGGTTCTACGGGGTTTTGTTGAGGGTTTAGGTTTACCAGCACCCCCCAAAGGGCCTCTAATGGAGACCTAATGGAGACCTTAATAGTGGATATTTGGGGTATGATAGAGGGCAGTTGCGGTGTATAGGTACTATAGTAGCCAAAATATATGGTTCATTTCAACAGTGATAATAGTATAGCATACCCCAAATCCCTGTTCGAATTCTCAAGGCCCCTATCATTAGGGTTCAGGGTTTAGGGTTTAGGGTTTATTGTATAGGGTTCAAGCGTTGAGGGCTTAGGGTTTAGGGTTTAGGGATCCCTAAACCCTAAACCCTAAATTAGGGTTCAAGGGTTGAAGGTTTAGGGCTTAGGGTTCCCCAATGCCTCCTCAGCCCGACTCTAAGACCAAGCCGAGAGGCTCTGCAGTCGGGTTGACCTAAACCCTAAACCCTAAACCCTAAACCCTAAACCCTAAACCGCTATCATCATCCCAGAGAACCCAATACCCTTTAATTGAGGAATATACCTGAAATTATAGGGGCCTTAATTTTGGGGTTTAGGGCTTAGGGTTATGATTTAAGGTATATTCCTGAATTAAGGGGTATTGGGTTTTTTTGGGTATCCAGGGAACCGCCTAGCAGACTCCTGTGAGCCCTCAGAGCCCTGAGCCTTCAACCCTTCAAGCCCTCACCCTAAGCCCTAAACCCTAAACCCTAAGCCCCCTAAACCCTAACTCCTAAACCCTAAACCCTAAACCCCAAACCCCCTACACCCCCTAAGCCCTAAGCCCTAAACTCCTAAACCCTTCAACCCTGAAGCCCCTCAAGCCCAAACCGCCCCGAGATCTGAGGCTGTTTGCCCAGTTCCAGTACCAAGGGATCCTGGCGTACCTCCGGAATGTGTCGATGCCGCAGCCTGCGATGTGGATAGGAGGAGATGAGGGTTCCTAGGGTGTGGGGTTCGGGGTGTAGGGTTTGGGAACCCTATACCCTGCACCCAAACCCTAAACCCCAAACCACATCCCGACGGGTAGATTTCTGCCCGACGCCTCTGGTCCCGCTGTAAAGATGGGGTTTCAATGATTCCTAGGAGTTCTGCCACCCGATGACCCCTCTTGGAGGGTCGGCGGACTTAGTAACTGGCTACTTCATAGACTTATAAGTACCATGACCCCAATTAGGATCCCTTTTAGGGTACTTATAACTCTACTTAGAACCTACTTACTAAGTTTTTCGATCCTCCAAGCTACACATGAGCCCTGTCTTGGCTTCAGGGTGGTTTCAGGGAACCTGCAAAGTTGCTCTAGGGTTTAGAGGAGTTGCCTGCAAGGAAAGGGTTTAGGGTGTTAGTTAGGGATTGTGGTGAAGGGCTTCGGGTGCAGAGCCTTCTTGCGATAGATAAGTCTTTCGGGTTGATGAGTGTGAGCCACAAAAGAAGAAGTGGAGTTGGGCTCTCAAGTCCATTGCGCACGGACGCTTCCAGTACTGCAGCTGCAGCTCTGGCCCCTAAACCCTAAACCCTAAACCCCTAAACCCCTAAACCCCGAAACCCTAAACCGTAAACCCTAACTGTCGGCTTGCAACCCTCCGAACTCTAAACACTCGCGAGGCAGACTCCAATCCCGATTCTATAGACACTTCATGGAACAGGGTGGGCAGGCGGTTTAGGGTTTTGGGTTTGGGGTTTAGGGTTTTGGGTTTAGGGTTTAGGGTTCAGGGTTTAGGGTTTAGGGTTTAGGGTTTAGGGTCTAGGGTTTAGCAGGAACCACCAGCGTCCTCCACATCGCGTGGGCCATGCTGTTCATCGTGGTCTTCAAGTGGGGCGCTCCGGCCAAAACCTAAGACGCCGAACCTGAAGTCGTAAACCCAAACAAAGTTTAGGGTTTAGGGTTTAGGGTTTAGGGTTTAGGGTTTAGGGGTTTAGGGTTTAGGGTTTAGGGTTTAGGGGTTTAGGGTTTAGGGTTTAGGGTTTAGGGTTTAGACAAAAATCCCAAAGCTTCGAATGCCAAACCGAAACCCCACATCCCTTAAACTAACCCTTAGGGGAACCTTGATAAGAGCCCCGAAACCCTAAAAGGAGCCACTTCAGCCAAAACCCAGACACCCCATAGTCTCCGCGGCCGAGGTTTCGGATTTCCCTACACCCTAACCCCCACACCGTGGCTTTCTTGCGTTGCTTCATCCCTCCGCCCCTGAAACTTTGAACTGTCTCCAGGTTCCCAGTAGTACCCTTTGCCGTTTGTCTTTTTAGCTTAAACCCAAAACCCAAAACCCTAAACCCAAAACCCAAAACCCTAAACCCTAAACCCAAAACCCCAAACCCAAAACTCAAAACCCAAAACCCTAAACCCTAAACCCTATAACCGAAGAGTAGGAAAAAGGCCACCCTTATTCATCCAGGGGCTGCCCGGGGAACCCAGGGCTCCACCGCTTTTAAAGACGAAGCCCTCAACCCTAAACCGCAAGCCCTTAACCCTAAACCCCAAGCCCTAAACCGTAGGCCCTAAACCCTGAACCCCAAACCCTAAACCCTAAGCCCTTAACCCTAAACCCGAAGCCCTAAAGCCTAAACCCTAAACCCCAAACCCGAAGCCCTAGCTTTTTTGAGTCGCTGACGGCCAAGGCAACTTGGGTGCAGGCTCTGCGAACGTCGTGACCTGGATGCTTCAGTGGCTCCTAGGGCCACTGGGCCGCAGCAAAAAGGGAGGAAGAGGAGTCGTAGGGTTGAGGGGTTTAGGGTTGAGGGTTGAGGGTTTAGGGTTGAGGGTTTAGGGTTCAGGGTTTCGGGTTTAGGGTTTAAGGCTTTGGGTTTAGGGTTTCGGGTTGAGGGGTGTGGGGCTTTGGGGGTTTGATTAGGGTTGCGGGGTTAGCCTAACCTGTATCCGGGGTCGGGGGTTAGGGGTTTAGGATTTAGGGTTGAGGGCTGCAGAGTTTGGGAGTTTAGGGATAGAGGACGGTGAGGGGCTAGGGGTTTAGGGGTTCGCAGTTTCCGGTTTGGGAATTGGGGCTTAGGAGTTTGTGGTTTAGGGTTCAGGGATTAGGGGTTAGGTTTTATGGGGGTTTAGGGTTTCTGGGATCAGGGATAAAGGTCACAGAGGAGTTGCAAAGGTTAGTGTTTCTTTCAGTCTCGAAGTCTTTATGTACACTTTAATATTTATAACATTACACTACATTACACTACATT